AGTGGAGACAAGTGGAAATCAAAACACGTTTTCATTTCCATTAAAAATCACAAAACCATTTAAAATTTGTATTGCCTTAGGGTAAGAGCCAACTTGGTGCAAGGACTAAGGCATTAGGCTAGAAACTAGGAGACCGTGAGTTCTAATCCTATGCTTTGGATATAAAACCAGCTAGGTGACTTTGGGCCAGTTACTTTTTCTCAGCCCCAGGAAAGAGGCAGTCTGAAAACTCTTGCTAAGAAAACTGCAGAGAATCGGACATAAACAGAAGAAAATAGAAGGGGGAAGGTTAAAAGTAAAATGTCTTGAGTAGAACTCAACATCTTACAACATGCAGCCACCTTAGCAACAGTAACACATGTAAATCAGTTCCATCATTGCTTTCATTCAAAAAATTTTTTTTAAAAAGAAATCCCAGTCCAGCTTTCCACTTAAATACTAGCTAGATCTAACCAATGGTATTTAATTTTTCCAAGATCAACCAAGTTTACTTGCCACCTGCTGTGACCATGGGAGAAGAGAAATTCAAAACAGAATAGGCATGAAAGTAAATTTACAAGTTCAGAAAGGTTGGAATGCAGTTTTAAAAGTTTTCTTTTCAGCTGAGAAAAGCAAGTCCTGTTAAGAAATTGCAGACGAGGATGGACATCCTTTGCAACATGAGCTGTCATACGTGACACGTACTTTCCCCCCAGGGCCAATAGGATTCTATGTAACTGTTCACAAGATACCTACTGGCAGGACATATTCCGTGCTGTGGCTTCATTTAAAAACCAAGCTTCTGCCTATTATAGGAGGAGGGCTGGGCTTATTCAACCAAAGTCTAATATTTGGCACGGCCTCAGAAATTAGGCCTGGCAATGGGACAGGTTTCCCCTGTCATTGGGGAACAGAGCTTGAGAAAGAACTGTCCTTTTGTGCCAGTCAGAATAAATCATGCAAAGCAAGCAACATTTAGGCATGGAACATCCTAGTGTGTGTTGTTTGCTTAGTGTTTGGAGGTTCCAGAATTTAACTTTACTGACGCAAATCCCCGACATTCTCCACACATCAAAAAATATATAGCTGAGGTCATAATACTCTTCATTAAGTATAATCTATACTGTCATTGTACTTAAACACAACAAAATTGGCTTAAGACCATACAGTGGAAGGATTCAAGTTCCCCGTCATGGAATTTACTAAGCTAAGGAACCAGATTTTTGGTTTTAGTCGTACCCCCCCCCCCCGTCTTGCTATGAAAAATGCCTTCTAATATTTAGGAGACAGTTTTCAACTTATTCTTGTTTCCATCATGTCTCTAAAGCACTTTGATTAGCCTCTGATCTATTTGCCCATGCTTGATCACACATCATTGGGCAGCACTAGATGAGCCATTGGGGGTGGGGGAATGCTCCTTTGCTTGACCTAGCTGAACAATTTCCACTATTCATGCTTCAACAATGGGATTTTTGTTCCGATTAACACAGCAGTGAAAGCACCAGGCATGCTGGGATGCTACAACAAAAAATATACTGAAAACCAATGAGATTTTTACAATTTCAGTCCGATGTTGTCATGTTCAATGCCATCTTAACTTATAGGAGGAGAAGCTATGCTGTGAAGGTGTAAGAAATTCTGGCCTCCAAGGAATTGTAATCCTAGTCCGTATCTATTATGTGGCCTTCTTAAAGGAGGGTTGGTGCAAGTTAACTAGGACAGAGGCGTTGACTTATCCGGTCAGTGGTGCTTTTGCATACATTTCCTGGCTTTCTGTAATAGAAATTCTGACATCACCCCAAAATACAGCTGGAACCCTGCTACTCCATATGAATTTTGACTAAGTAGTCACTAGGCAGGAGTAGTCGAAAAGATCACAACAATCTTTTTTTCTTCCCCAGCAGCTGTCAATCTCTGGTCAATTTTGGAAGAAGGATTGACTGTCATCGGTACAGGTAGTCCTCCAGTTATGACTATTCTTTCAGTGACTGTTCATAGTTACAGTGGTGCTGTACTTACAACCTCAACTCCCCACCCGCCTATTTCACCCTTTCTATGCTCTGTTCACCCTTTGCATTTGCAGCCCCTGCCCCCCCTAGCTGATTTCTGCCATCTTCTTTCTCCTGCTGCTGGCCAAGCATGCCTGGCCTGGCCCTACTGGGAGGCAGCTGCTGGTCGCATGAGGCTTTCTTCCCAAGGTTTCCCAATGAGACCAGGCAGATGGACTCGTGTGCTAGCAGCTGCCTTGCAAAGCGGCACATCTCGTCAACAATAGCAGCAAAAAGACAGAGGTCAGTTGGGGTGGGCAAGGCAGCAAGGGCTTCAGAGTGCAGGGTAATGAGGGTACTATGGCCAGGACTGGGGTGGGCTGGCATAGGTTTCCTGGCAAAGCTGGGGCTTTCTGCTATGCAGATGGGGCGGCTTCCAGGCAGCCCGAGCATGCCGAGAAGGCTTGAGTTGCAATGTGACAAGCAGCCCAAGAGCCACAAAGTTCTGAGGCTACTTGCTGTCCTGCAAAGCAAGGTGCAGGACAGCCAAAAGGGCAGAGATGGGAGAGAGAGGGAAGTGGATACGGTGAGCTGAAGCAGAGGTAGTTCCTTACCTTACTTGAGCTGGGAAGTACCAAGCCAGAATGACCATGTTTGGGGTGTGTCTTTCCTTAACCACCCACAATTTTTGCGTCAATGGGAAGTGCCGACACTAAGCAATGTGGTCATATGTCGGGCTTTTTGACCCCATTGCTCAGTGATGCAAATTCTGGTCCCAACTGTGGTCATAAGTCAAGGATTATCTGTATTTGCTTCTTTCTATTTTCTATCCTGATTCTCCTTAATTAGAGACAACTCCAGGCTCTCATCATATAAAGCTGATAAGCCATTGTTATCACTGCCATTTGGTTTTCACTGCAGATCTTTCTGCTGGCCAGCTAAAAACATGACGTAATCAAGATTTTCCAATGCGGAGAAGCAGGGAGTAATAGTGGGTGCAGCCTCTTATATGCAAGATTGAAAGACATTTCTCAGAATTGATTGCTTTCCTAGACATGAACTCAGGAGAAGCCAAATGGAGCTTTTTAATGGCCTGCAGTAGCTTCGCTCTTACCCATTAAAAGTCAATAAAGGCAAAGAATATGCATACATATCAGGCTGGGATGGATCCAGCGCATTCACACCCACCAATATTATCTGCCCTTTAGGAGTGAGCTGGCAGCAGCTATAGAAAGGACAGGCTGTCTAGGGCCTTCTGCTGAGGCAGCATTTCCCAATTCAACCTCAAGTGATTCTTCAAAGCAGAATCTCCCAGCGACATAAATCTAGATATAAGTCAAATCACTGGATCGTGCAGCACATATGCATCAGTTCAGAAGTAGCCGAGACATTTGCTATAATAGCCTTCCCCAACCCAGCCCTTGCCAGATGCCTTGGACTACGAATCCCCAAATCCTCAGACAGGCACTGATGATTCTGAGAGTTGTGGTCCAGAACATCTGCAAAGGGGCATGTTGGGGAAGACTAGACTATATAGAGAAGGAGAATGCCCAGGGTTGTTATCCAAATTAAGAATATTGTTTCAAGGCGATGAGCCCATGTCTTTCCAATAAGGGTTTTATCACTAATCAATAAATAGATGTTTTTATTGGTACAATTGGGACCAAAAAACCTTTCCAATTCATGTTAAGGTAAATCATAATAATGTGTTTTACCAGCTTTGGTGCTCCACTGTATAAGTGATACCATTTTTAAGGTGGCTGTAACTGATTAGTAAATGGCTTAAAACATTCTGCTATTCTTGATAGTAAGATAGCAATTTACGTATAAAAACTTTTGGGAACCCATGTGACTTGTAGATTATGATGGGGAGAAAACAAGCAGGATACATGCATGCATAATACTTGCATAATGCTTTTGATAACCGTGATACAAACTGTGATACAATAATCACAACAATCATTGTAGTGGAAAGCAGGAGAGTCTGTTTGGTACAGTGTTTGAGGCACACCAGGCTAGAAACTGGGAGATCGTGAGTTCTAGTTTTTCCTTAAGCACAAAGCCAGTTCAGTATCCTTGGGCCAGTCACCCTCTCTCAGCCCGAGGAAACAAGCAATTTTTAAGCCATCTCTGAAATCCTGCCAGGGAAACTGCAGGGATCTATCCAGGTAGTCATCAAAAGTCAAGAAGACACTCAAAGGCACAAAGACAGATAAAAGAAAGCAAGTGAGGTTTTAACTTATTTAACAAGTGTTTACTATACTTTTCCATCTCTTTATGCTTGTTTTTTAAAGATCCATTTCCAGAATGCCAGAGACCTGATTTTCTTCTTTGGCACTCAGGGCTTCCTATTGGTTTTTAGGGCAAGCCTTTCCAACCCCTACCTGTTTTTGAAACATCTGAACTGTCATGAAGATATGGCTCAAACTAGATCAACCACACAGAGGATCAAATTAGTTAATCAAAGCAAAAATTATGCTAGCTAGCCCTGTAATCTCTCCCAGAAAGGGAAAATAAGCCTTGATTGCATTTGAATATTCACCCAGCACACATATCTTGATGGAAGGAAAGGAGTGAGATAGAGAAAGGCTATGATCTGAGAGCAATAAGAAAGGCAATGCTGGTATTGTGAAATTCTGCCCCATTTTATGACCTTTCTTGGCACTTTTGCTAAGCGAATCACTGCAGTTCTTAAGTTAGTAACGCATTTGTTAAGTGAATCCAGCTTCCCCATTGACTTTGCTTGTTAGGAGGTCACAAAATGGGATCACATGACCCTGGGACACTGCAAGCATCTGAATTTTGATCACATGATTGTGAGAGGAGCTGCATCGGTCATAAGTATGAAAAGTGGTCATAAGTCACTTTTTTCAGTACTGTTGTAACTTTGTTGTCACTAAACAAACTGTTGTAAGTCGAGAACAACCTGTATAGCGTATCTGCAACCTGAAGATATGCTGTTTCATTTTACAGAAGCTTGGATTGAAAAATATGGTCCACGTATGAGTGAAAACAGCTTAAAATATGGAGCTTTTATGCTACTGCATAAAAATTAACTTGGGAACTGAAGTACACCACCACAGTTATCAGGGGCCCTTTGAGCTCAATATCCTGTTTCCCACAGTGGCAACCAAAATGCCTCTGGGAAGCACACAAGGATGTGATCATGGGAACCCACTCTCCAGCTGATTTCCTCTGGCCATTGGCTTTGGGAGGCAGCTGTTCTCTCTCTCTCTCTCTCTCTCCATCCCTCCCTCCCTCCCCCCGCCTCTCTCTCATGCAATCCAAATGTGGCACTGGAAGCCATGGACTTGTTCAGTCCTTTTTCAAACTTGGTGACCCACACTATACCTTTGACAGTATATCCACAGCATAACGATGCAGCATTGGACGTGTTTCCTTTTGTTTGTCTTAAATCACTTACCCACAACTTCATGCATGACCCTGGATTATAGTATAATGAAAAATACAGCACTTTCTGTCAGTTTCCCTACAACTTGCATTTATTTATAGCTAACAAAAACCTCAAGCACTATTACTTTTTCCACCCCAAAACCCCCTTTCCCTTGACTATTTTTAAAATCTCCTCCTTCCTTATTACACACAATGCCTTTTTGAAGTATGATGACCAGAATCCTATGATAAGCATGTTGTTACTTGGAGGAGAGCTAGACAGAAAATGAAGCTTCAGAAATCTATATACTGCAGGATTTAATCTGGGTTGCTCATCGGGACCAGAGATTTTGCTGGAGCCTATCTTAAGGGAATTTCTCTCCCTCTCAAAAGTTTCCTGAAGATGGGTTCCAACACGAGTCCGAAAGCTTTGAAGACAAAATCTCTGGTCTTGGTGACTGACCCAAATTGGATCCTGTAACACTATCCTGGAACACGTATATTTGCCTTCATTTATCATCTGTATATTACTTAACCTGTTATGTCAGGCACTTTTAACTGAGCAAAATTACGCATCAAAGGGCTAATTTTTTTTTAACTAAGGTATTTCAAACAGGCTAACTCTCACCAACCCCTGATGTTTGACTGTGCTGCCCAGTTCAACATACCACTTTCAAGGCAGATACATTTCTGAATTATCTCCCTGAATTTTTCAAGTACTCTGCCCTTGTTGAAGGCATTGAGGAATCTGGCAAGAAAATATCTCTGAAACTATGAAACAATGGGTCACGTGTTGTCTAGTACCATCCTAAACATGGGAAAAAGCTTCCTGGAAGGGCAAGCTATTTGAAAAAATTTCAATAGATCAATTACATCATGAGCACGGGGTATAATTTGATTTGTTCAAATGTCTAGAGCAGTGTTCCTCAACCTTGGCAACTTGAAGATGTCCGGACTTCAACTCCCAGAATTCCCCAGCCAGCGAATGCTGGCTGGGGAATTCTGGGAGT